CCTAAATCCCTAAGCCCGAAATCCCTCAACCAAGCCCAGGTGCTGCTGCTCCGTCTCGAGTCCTGCTTCCCCTTCCTTCCTCGGCTCCACGGCTTTTGTTCAGAGCTTGAGAAGGTGTCCATACGATGTCTTTTTTTTGCTGATTCTGGGGTTTAGGGGATGTGGGGTGAGGCTGGTTTAACTTCTAGGGTCTAGCCTTGTTGATCCCTGCCCCAACTCTCAAACGTCCTGCTTGAAAAATCGTAGGTCGTGGGTCGTGGCAAGTGAGCTTCTTAGTAATTGCTAACATTGGGGTGTAAGTACAAGTCGCTATTCCTGCGGTTTCAGCATATCTTTGATTACTCCTAACCCTTCCCTTCCCGCAAACCCATGAACCTAAATCCTAAACCCTTTGCAGCAGGGGCATGGGATGCAATGCCTGCGTGTTCATTAAGGGCCAAGGGCTTGGGGCTTCTGGCGTAGCGTCTATCTACCCTCAGAAACCCGGTCCTGGGCATTGTGGGAACGCTCTGGGCTTCGACTACTAATGAGGATTCGAGGGGGTATATATGTTTATGTAGTGTAAAAAGGGCGTGAAGGCTGTATGGTGACGGCCTGGAGCACAGATTTCGCTGTAGCCCCTTGCTGTCTCTTTTTTCCTGTGCACAGCTCATGAGGTCACCTGTTTCTTGCGAAGGCAAGAAGCGCTGTAGCTTGCGATGCTGAGCATCGTCCCTAATTTTTTTATTTAGGGTTTGGGGTAGTGTTGCGCTAGGATGCTGATGCTCATGATGATGGTAAGCCGCAGAAAGACATGCTGAATGCCCACAGTGCAATGATGATTGCCACTAGCGCTGGCACTAGCACTACCAGGATGAGGAGATGAGGACGACTGCTGCTGCTACTGCCTCTGCTGCACTACCTCCACGACGAACACTGCTTCAGTTCCTAATCCGCTGCTCTCTTCTGCTATTCCCGACACCCAAAATTGAGCAGAGCCTGTGCCGGACAGGGCTTATTTCCCAAACGAGGGAGGTCTCCACCAAAACCCCGTGACTTTACATAGCCTCTGTGAGCAAAAGCAGTAATGGCAAGAGCGGGTGATTGACAATACGACACCAGCCACATACATCATGAACTCTCACACGGTCATAAGGCAGGCTACCGAGCGAAACAACAAGTAGCTCGACTTGAGTGGTAAGAGAAATGCTGATGTCTGAGCCAACTTGAATGAAGGCACAAAACGGACTGGCCCAGCATTGCTGCAACCCTCTGCTGTACCTCAATCCCAGGCAGGTACGCGCTTGCGGGAATTTGGGAGATATATTGTTGCAACTGTGCCAGGGCCGAGCGACGAGGCAAGAAACCCCTTGTCGAAACAAGTTTACCGAGCAGCGATCTAACTATTGCGGCCCATGTGCAACAAAACTAAGCTAGTTGATCCATCAAGCCAGAAGACACTGCCTGCTTCGTCTCCGGCTACCATGGTGAAGAATCATTCATGCTTGGATACAGGTTACCCCACGGGTACCTGCGGTCGCGCACAAATGACAAACCTGGCTTGAGGCACCTGAAGATTAACATCGCACACTCCAGCAGCATCCAAGCATGAGCACTGCGCAGCGAGCAGTCGCTCTGTTGCACAGGAGGAAATGGAAGGTAGGAATGTCTATCAGATCGCAGGACCCTCTCGGGAGAAAGGGCAGCACCCTCGATCAGTTTCAGAATCTATCCGACGAAGAAGCATTTGAGCCATCCACATGTGAAACCCCCTGGAACTGACCTCAAAACTCGACTGTAGTGAACACGTTCAAGAAACAGATTTTCCTAAATCCTAAACAGCCTAATGCAATCCAAAACCCCCCAAAAAGGCAAACGAAATTCCATCGAAGATTGGCCCGGGAGGTCTCGACATGTATTCTGCATGGCTCATTGAAACGCATAGAAACGAAGGAATGTAAATTGGGAGTTTCAGAAAACGCCACCCCTGTATAGATCCTGAATAGTAGAATTCTTGCTCTTACTTGCAGAACTACGATAGCTACTACAACTACCAAACGGATTCCGAGAATGGGCACCCCTTGCATGGGAACCTTACTAGTTAATCAGAATAAGGGGAATATCCAAGTAGAATATATATGGGGCTAGAAGGAATAGTACTACTAACTACTAATTGGTTGGTGGCTTCTAATATTATATTTCGCTATTCGTTTTGAAGCTCCCCGTATTCACTTGCCGCTGCTCATCGGGCTCTTTGCGGCTGACTTTAAACCTTGAAATAAGCTTCAGTGCGCTCCTCAAGCAACACGGTCAATTTCTCAGCAACCGTTCCATTCCACTCAGCTTCCTCCTGGCTGCGACTTCGTCTTCCAGCCAGCTTGGAGCCTTGAAGACGGAGCTTCGAAATCTATCGAGATTCTTGAGATGCCTTTTGTGCAGCTCCTGATCTGGGGCGACGATGGTGCCCAAGGGCAGATCTTTGGCGCGCTCTCGCACGCTTGGCATGTTCCAAGAGCTCTCGACCTGGGAGGGTTCGGTGAACTCCAAGAGCACAGGCTCCTCTTTGATGACTCCTCGGAGGCGGGGTGGGACATGGACCGTAACAGAGTCGCAATCCTGGGTGCCAGGAGTGTCGGCCTCAGAATCGCAAATGGGTCCAGAGAGGGAGCTTACACTCTCAGTTGCATGAGGCAGGATGTAGCACGACTGTTGCGTGGACACCTGTGAAGAGCACGGGATGGTGAGATTTGCGGTCGGCTTGTATCCCACGACCCGCTTCTCAACAACTTTCCCCATGTGGACCTGCATTTCCAGCTCATCAAACGAGTTAACTTGCATGGACGAGCCACACCCCATGGCTGCAAGATGCTCTGATCAACACAAAAGTTGCTGCCGCTTGATGCAACTCACAGCCGAAACTGCGGCATGGCACCTGCCTACATAAGCCCTTCTGTGGGTCTTACCCATAGGCCCCTAAGTAGTTCCTTTTCGGGATTACCTTATAGGATTCTAAATATCAACCACAAAAAGGAACTACTTCGGGGCCTATGGGTACAGCCTGAAGACTGTGGCTGTACATTCAGAGAACTGCATTGGTCCCCAGGCCAAGGGCGTAGAGACTTGGAGAATTACTAAATTACCTGATGCCGGGTGCAGGGATTGCATAGGAATTAAGTAGCCCTAAGTCAATCATGTGGCAACACGTTCAACACCTCAGGGGCATCATGGGGCCATCCAAACTATGTGGTATCTCAGGGCCCTACGTACAAATTGAATGGATACTGCTGCTGTCAACTGGCGCGTGTGTATGGTATTATGCTCACTGTGCGCGAGGCAAAACTCAAACATCAGTGTGTTGTCCGAAATGCATCGGGGCTGCAGCGTGTATGTTAACAAGGGTGAGCGGGCCCCCCCTGCATAAAACCTAGATCCTAAATCCTTTTTACCCCTTAAACCCTAAAGCGAGAATGCCTGTGGTCTGGTGACCACCATGTTACGAAAAGAACATAGTAACATAGTACGGACTACGGCGACTACGGGGTTGCGGCTTCTTATCACCGTCTGTACCTAAGGTAAGACAGCTTTCATGTATGGGATTGGTGGAAACAAACCAGTCACAAGGGTGCAAATATTAAAGAAAAAACGGACACTCAAAGGGTCCCGACATTGTTGCCGAGTTGAAGCCTAGAATCTCATCGGCGAGCTTTGACAGCTCCTGGACATTTGTCTTGACCTGCCAGGCAGTTTTTATGTAAGTATCGGGCATTGTATGGACCAGTAGTACCGGCATCGTTCTTGTGCCCCGAAGACATTGCATGAGTTGGTAGAGTAAGCGGCTTCATCCGGAGTTGCTAACCAAACCCCACGCTACCGCTTCCCCAAACCCAAAAACCAGAACTCCAAAGCCCTAAACCCTAAAAACCCTGCAGCCTAAACCCTAAACCCTACAGCCTAAACCCTAAACCCTCCCGCCTCTGACACTGCATCCTGGTCGTCTTGATCTGCGATGAGCGCAGACATCTGCTGGACGCGGTCCTCGACCACCTAGCCGTCCGAAAAATTCAAGCATTCCTTTCGATACTAGAGCAGTTCTATGAAGGTTACCATCGATCGTTACCGTGAGGGTGCTGTATGGGCTACTATCAGGAAGGTTCTAAAGAAGTAAGGCTTGTTAGGGGCTCAGGTTTTCACATTCCATAAAGTTCCTGCTTCAGGAGCTTCCACACTCGCAAGCAAGAAGTCCAAGTAAAACTGGCCTCGATAGAGACGTACCCCCCCAAGACTCACAACAACACAACCGGCAGAGACTAACCAGCCGAATGCGATAATGATGGAAACGAGGCAACACATGCATGAAGCGTCCAAGAATCCCCTCCGATCTGCATCAACTCTTGGCGAAACACATCAACAAACAGCCGATTTTGACCCAAAAGTATCAGGATCCATGCAACAGAGAGCCCAAGACAAAGCCGTTTCAAAGGTGTCACCACAGCATCATCCAATATCTCACTCACTCACTAGCCAAGTCACGCCTCCACGCCGGCTCATTAACCAATGACTTGACTACTCTACCTGGAGGAAGAACTCGCTGAGCTGCGAAAGATGTCCGAGGGGTCATGGTCCGTAAAAGTTCTTCGTTGCTTGTCTTCTGCTCCGCCGATGCTGCCTTGAATTCTGCCTGCTCTGCCTTGGAATGGGCCTCCTGATGTTGATGCTGATGCTGCACTGCATCCGTTGCCCGCGCGGCCAGCTCGTTGGCCTTCTTTTGCAACTACCCCAAACCCTAAACCCGAAACCCTAAACCCTAACCCAAAACCCTAAACCCTACCACAAACCCTAAACCCTGCATTTATCGGCCCTATATAAACCCTGCGGGCATTGGATCTCAAGAGCGGAGCTCACTGCCATTTTGCACCCTCTCAGTCCAATGTGACGATCGCACAGGACTCCTGAAAGGGTGCAAGTTTAGCATGCGCAGTTTCTCCTTTAGGATTCTGGGCCTACCTCAGAAAGTGTGCTGGGAGTGACATGGAGTGCAACAAGCGGCGTCAGGGCTTAGACCGGACCCTCACCCCTGAACCAAAACAGGCTTAGGGTTTAGGGGCCACGCGCTCCAAAATTGTGCAGAAAAATTAAGAAACCCTGTCAGGACCTTGTGCTTTAGGTTGCAGGGGCTAGGTGAGGGCTCCTCCATGCTCCGATCCCCCAAAGATCGACCCCAAAAATCTTGAACTTTCTGATCTAAGCCGTTTAGGGTTTAGGGCTTATAGGATTTAGGGTTTAGGGTTTAGGGCTACACTCGCTAATTCACCTAAGCCGTCAATCCTAAAGCATAACGGTAGAACGCTCCGGCTCAAACGCCGTATGGGGGAGGGGGGCTGGGGCGCCTTGAGTCTATTAAAGGCCTCATAAGGAAGTCTAGTCCCCTACCCCCTCACCCTAAACCCAAAGCATACCAAAAACCCTCTCCCCCTAATCCCCTATAAGGATCCTTATGACTAGCGCCCGAACCTGCAGCCGGGGGTGGAGGTGATCTGCATCAGTTTTCTGGTGTTGGTCCCTCTCTCTCTCGTTCAGACTCCAAGACCAAACAGGGCTCCCTGTAATTTAAGCCTATACTGTATCGTTCTATAACAGGGTTATGGTTCCGTAACAGGGCTTGATCCGAAAAAACTATCAATCCTAGACCGCCCTTGCGCCTCGTGCACACCCCTCGGCCGCGGCACGCCACTGGGCAACGTGAATGCGATGGGCTCCTTCAGAGGCTTTACAAGGTTAGGGAGGTAGGGTTGAGGGTTTAGGGTTTAGGGGCTATAGGGTTTTGGGGTTTTACAAGGTCAGGGAGTTAGGGATTTTGCAAGGGTTCCCTCCTTGAGGGGTTCTTCAATGGGGTTTAGAGCTTTCGGGTTTTAGGTTTCGGGTTAAGTAATTTAAGGGTTCCTCGAAAGGTAGCCCTATGGGATTTAGAGCTTTCGGTCTTTAAGGTTTCGGATTAAGTAATTCGGGTCAAAAGGTTTCAGGGCTTATCCGAAACCGTGCTCTCCCTGACTGAGATGCACTGTGGGGCGGAGGGGGGGGGGGGTGGGTTGAGCTGGGACCATTCATACTCGTCTGTACGATCTGGTATGCGGGGAGGAGTCATCTTGAACTTGAGCTCAGCGATGTTTTGCTGCTTTCGGTGACTTGAAACTCCAACAGGAACATGAAACTGTCGGAGGCGACATGCGGGGACCAAAACAAACGCAAAAACACTCCGGGATTTGCGCAATGACGCCTTTCTTCGGAGACCCTTTTTTCAAGTCGTCACCCTGGACAAGCGGCTGTTGCTGCCCGGGGTCTTTCCCACATGTCGCAACCCCTATTTCAACGTGAGTTCATGCATGCAAATGCAGGAGGAATCCTCGAATCTGCAAGGTAAGCCGCTTGAGCGATACAATTGTGATCATCTCTGGAATGTAAATATTGGAAACTGCAAAATTATTAATTCGCGAAATCTTTGGGAGAATGTTTGAGAGAGATTTGAGAGAACATTGCAAGAGCTGCAGGCAACTATGTCAAAATTTGAGAGAGATTTGCAAGAAGTTTGAGAGAAACAAAGCAAACACCATTAGTTGTCCGAGTAAATAAGTCATGTAGGCTTTCTAGGAAATCCATAAGAATACGCTAATTTCTCGCTAATCTCTCGCTAATTTCTCACTAAAACAGGCTAAATCGCTAACCCAGCTCGCAAACAAATCGCTAAGAAACCACTAATTGATGTTAGAAACCACTAATTGATGTTCGGTTGGTGGCCTCAGTATTTACATGGTGCGACGGTCACAACGATACAAGCATCGCAGAGACTGCAAAAGCCATTCGAGCTTACAAGCGGTTGCTGCCTTGGTATGGCTTCAGAGAGATTTCTTGCACGGATAGCGACCCTCTACTGCAAGGCCAAGAAAGCTTCAGTCTCTGGGGCTTCTGGCTCGTCATATTTGTCAGGAATGCTGAAACCCTAAACCCTAAAGTTTCTGCTGCTTCCATAGAACCAGAAGCCTTAGCCTTCATCTTGAATCCCATCACACACGAACGGGGAAGCTGCAAACCTATGATCCAAGTGAAAATCCAAAAAAATAAGTATCCAAAGACCCTGAACCCTGAACGCTAAACACGAAGCTCAACGGCTCAGGGCGTAAGTAAGGGCTTCGGGTGGCAGGGCCCCAAAACAGCCTACGAAGGATCCTGCACCCGAAATCCGAAAGCACAATCGAACTGGCTAACTCGACTCACCCATCCAAACCGCTTGTATCAACAATTGATATTCCATGTAAAACCGCAAACCCCACGGGCCAAAAACCCCAAGGCCAACACGCTAAACACCAAAACGCAGAGGCCGAAGGGCCTACATCCTTTCCCCATCTCCCCCTCCCCCTCTCCCTCCCTCCCTGTCCCCTGTCCCTGCTCCCCCCTCCTCTCTCCCGCTCTCCCGCCCCCTCCCTCTACCTCTCCCTCTCCCCTCCCCCTCCCCTCCCCCTCTCCTCCCCCTCTCCTCCCCCTCTCTCTCCCCCTCTCCCCCTCTTTTCCTCTCCCCCTCTGCCCCTCCCGCTCTCCCCCTCTCTCTTTCTCTCTCTTTCTCTCTCTCTTTTTCTCTCTCTCTTTTT